ATGCATTGAAAATTCATTTTTTATTTTTGATCCACGCAGTATCCTTATATGTCACTTGTATACATATGTCACACTCGTCGGGGCCCATGTAGTAAGTGCTTTTTAACTCATTTTTACATAATGCATTTGTATGGTGTATATGCATGAGATGCAATAGATGTGTATGAAATATTTGTATGTTCACATACACATTTGCATGTTTATTTATATATTTGTATGCCTACATATGCATTTGTAAATTTGTATGCATATTTATGTATTTGCATATGCATTTGCGTGGTCGAGATAATGCATTTGCATGTTGTATGATTGCTGGTATATTTGCAAAATGCATTTTTATAGTCAACAATATGCATACATATTATGTAGTGTGTCCATATGAATGGCGATGTACATACATTTCATAAAGTGTTCTCGCATAATGCACTTGTATGAAGCGAATACATTTGCCCTATAAAATCAAGAGACGTGTAAGATATTTTTTTGAATGATTTGACACATCTCACACACTTTAATGAAAAAATCGTGCCAACCATGACATGCAACAATTCATGGGGTGTACAACACATTCGTAGGAATATGAATCCCCTTACTTTTAGCAGCTAGCATGTATGTCACTTGGGGAACTTATGAGCCCGTGACTATTAATGTGATTGATGTTCTCATTTTATCATGGAGCATTTAACTATAATAATTACTGGGGTTAAGCGGGGGGTCCTACATAGTAGCTATTAATGTAAATGCATTTTGTATGAACATAAATATTTTTTTTACCACTTTTTAGGATAATTATTATCTATAATTAGGCGTATTTAAGCTCGTATTTTACTCACTTGTAAATGCTAAAAAAGTCCAAAGTAGGAGTGTCAAAATGACATATTCATATATTTTAAATATGGATCATAGGCCGGTGGGTCTTCCAAATGTACCCTCTATATCTTTTAGCAAATGAATCCTAAGCTAGTGGGGCCCACTAGTGTACATTCTCTATCGTTTAGCCAAGAGATCCTAAATTGGTGGGGCCCACAAATAAATTGAATTTAATGTTATAAGTAGAAGGGGAGGCTTAGTTTAATTTTCACATTCTAATTTACATGCAGAGTGTTAAGGGGGATTTAGGTGTGCACGAGCAAAGTACAAGCTAAGGGTGAATATTCTTTTTTTTTTTGGGAAATTTTGGGGCATAAAGCCCATTTCATTGCATAAAAAGATTACAAGTAAGTAAGTAAGCAAAACTATAATCCAACAATCTCAAGCAATAAAAAGAGATTTTGGATTCTAAAGAAAATGAAAATACATTCTGAACAAAAATAAAAGACTAATTGGCTAAAACTCGAGGACTCGGAAAATGATCAAATTCTCGAAAGGGTCAAAAGCTCGTTTGGGACATAGATTGAGCATAGCCCCTGGTTGCCCAGTAGACCGTCCAAGGGGCAGCTGAACAAGTTCAGTGATCATCATCGTCCATCCAAAAATGATATCCCCAGCCAAACATGTTGAGCCTCAACTCCTTCAGATTACCCAAAAAAAATCCAGAAGATAGTCTTCAGGTAATACAGTAAGCACAGATCTTGCATAGCAGCGACTTCCAGCTTCCAGGAGACAGAAAACAAAATTATTTCCAGCCCAGGGACTTTAACAACACAGCTTTCTTGATTTTAGAATTAATTGTGGTATTACAATCAATAATACCACCAAATAATATGTCATTTCTAGCTCTCCAAACAAAGTAAATCGTAGCTGAGGCAGTAAGAAGGTAGTAATTTCTTGTTTTAGAGTTGAATCCTTGCTCCCATATACTATCATAAAGCTTGTGAATGTTCGACCTCATAAGAAGATTGTGCAACCAAGGGAATTTTTTTTTTTGCAATGTTAAAAGTGAAACTGCATTCAAAATAGAGATGGGTAGTAGTTTCTCTATCACTGTGACAGAAACAGCAAGTGTTAGGAACCAGAATTACACGAACTGCAAGAACATCCGCAGTTTTTAAATCCCCACGAAAAGCCAACCAAGCGTAAACAGAATAACGCAGAGCACCTTTCTTATGCCAAATGTATTTATACCAAGGCACCTTGTTCATGTTATCAAAAAACTGGACATTGAAATCCCCAAATTTTGGGTTCAGCTTATCTCTCCAGAAATGATTTTCACTATGAGTATCTATAGTAACAGTATTAATAAGTGAAAGCAGGCTACTGTCCATGCAAATGGGGAGATTCCACTTATCATTTTGTATTATATGTGAAATTTTCCAGTAAAAAAGAAAAGAGAAGCTGGAAATTGTGGTCGTGTTAGAAAGGTAATCAGCAACCGAGTTACCTCCACACCACGGATCCCAGAAAAAAGACAGGTTGCTGCTAGCATTAACAGAAAAGGTTATACAGCTTTTTATCTCTTTTGCTTTTACACACATAAGTTTCCAATAATGTGAATTTTTACTGGCATTTGATTTCCACAGAGAATTGAATCTGGCTCTCCACCAAGAAAAAAGTAGAGAGTTTTCGTTTAAAAACCTCCAAATAGTTGAACAAGTGTAGCTATGCTTAAGAGACTCAATCGAAGGGATACCCAGACCCCCATTAATCTTTGGACAGCAAGTATTTTTTCGGGATACAGTCGTAAGTTTTCTCTCATTGATTTTGCCATAAAAGGTGAATCTGGAACAATGCCTAACAATTATTTTGCATCAACTCTTAGGTATAATTGAACCACGTATCCAGTAAGCCAAGGTATTGGATATTGTGAATTTGATAAATTGAATTCTCCCCGCTAGTGAAAGGGTTTTGGCTTTCCATCCTTCTAGATGAGAAGTGATTTTTTGCATCAAAGGTTGAAGTCATAGATTTTCAGTTTTTTATAGAAGATTGGGATCCCCAGGTATTTAATAGGAGAGAAAAACTGTTGAATATTAAGGATGTTGCAAATGTCCACAGCCACAGGAGTGTTCTTAGAAATAAGAATAGAACTTTTCAGAGGGTTCACTTGAAGCCCAGATACAGCCGCAAATTCTTGAAGAATAGAGTTGATAGTATATGCATTCCTTGTTGTGGCAGAGCCAAACACAAGGAGATCATCAGCAAACATAAGATGGGAGACCATGCAATTCCCAGCTTTAATGGCTTTAAAAGTATTGTTAGAAGTCGCAAGATCCAAAATTGAGGACAAACCATCCATGATTATACTAAAAAGATAAGGGGACAGTGGGCACCCTTGCCTGATTCCAGAAGTGGAGTTAAAGTAGCCTTTGAGCACCCCATTTATACAGATTGAAAAGTGGACATTGGATGTGCAAGCTTTGATCCAATCAGTGGTTTCTAGAGATTTCCTTTACAAACGTCTTGAAGCTAAAGGTTTTCCTAGTTTGTTTTTTGAAGGGTGAATATTCTAGTTCGTACTTTTTAGTAAGTTATTACTTCTCCTACAAATTTATTATAAGCTCTATTTTGTTACACCTTAAGTTTTTGTTCAATTTTATTTTTAATGTTTGGAACTTAAGTTTTTGTGCATTTTTTGTTGGCTTAGGAGAGGTTACGATTCAATGTTTTTTTTTTTTTTTTTTGTTCTAAATTTTAACTAAAGCATTTATTTTATTGTAAATTTTGGCAACACTCTGGAGTTTGGAGTCTTCCCCATGTAGGGGGTTGCATCAAGGTGTGTTAGATTTTCCCGCCTATCGAAAAAGACAATCATGATAGATGTCACACGACACCGCGATCGAAATTTTCATTCTTTGCCTACCAAAAAAGACAAAAAAGATAGCCACAAGTCTTCAAATACATATTTATAAAACATAACATTTTCTTGCTTGTGAAAAAAGGCGAACACATGTACTTATTTTCATGCAAATAAATTATTTCGCTTGTTTAAAAAAAAAGTCATGGCATTACTTTTCATGCATATAAACTTCCCCACATACTAAAAAATGGTCAAGAGTACTTATTTTTTCATGCATAGGAATTTCTCTAACTATGAATCAAGAGAAAAAGCAGGAGAGGGGGGTTGAGACTGGGAAGGATAGGTTTAAGTGAGAGAGTGAAGAGTATTTAAAAAAATATTACAGAGTGAAGAGTATTTAAAAAAAATGTAATATTTTTTTAAATACTATTTATAATTAATTTCAAATATAAAATTAGATTTTTTTCTCAATTAATCTTACCTCTACACGACCATCACATATTCATCCTATACGCACATCGATGACACCTCAATTCACACACGCAAAATTATAATTTTAATTGATCAATCCTGGTCAATATGAGTATCAATCTCAACTATTTTAGCTATCCTGAACATGTTGATGCTGTCCATTTTACAAATAGAGTCCATTTCGACGATTTAAAATTTCGATCAACACACTGGCACATTTAACACCGGACTTTTTTGCTTTCGAAATTAATCGTGCGCGGTCTACATGAAGAACAATTATTAGGTCCTCCGACCAGACGTAGAGCTACGTCCGGTCGGAGCTCAAATCACAGTAAAAAACAAGAAATACCGAGCAATACCAAACAATAGCGAGGAATACCATCATGTGAAGAGCCAATACCGAGTTATATCGAGCAATACCGAGTTATACAAAAAAATACCGAGTTACTCGGTATTTTTTTGTATAACTCGGTATTGCTCGGTATTGATCTTCACAGAGCGGTATTCCTTGTTATTAACAAATAATACCTATCAATACCGAGCAAATACCGAGTTTTTTTGTGGGATTTTAGTGCCGACCGGACGTTCCTCTACGCCCGGTCGGAGGACCTAATAATTGTCCCTAATACTAGTATTGAGAACAGCACTTGTGAATACATCTGACATGCTAAAAAATATTGCCGATAAGGCACACAAATTGAACCATTGAAGAAACAATAGAATTAGAATCAGACCTTTAGCCCATACAACCTTGCCTTGGCATCTGCAACTCATAAAACGGACAGACAGTGAATAGCAAACAGAAATAAGCCTCGGCATGTCAACAACAAAGAGGTAGCATATTAATTGAATGTGATTTCTTGCAGCAGGAAAGCCAAGAATGTCCCAGCTTTGCAGCACCATTCCTTATCTGGATAATTGGAAAGTTCTAAATCTTTAAAAATGAATATACATACAGCATGTTAACATGCAGGGCAAAATGTTGACAACAAAACAATTCAGTCTATAACCCCACTAAACTTTTCATCCATTTAAAGCCTGAAGCAGGCTACCAGCTTCAATAAATTCCAGAAAAAAAATTAAAAAGCTCAGGCTGGCCAACAAACAATTGCCACCCGTTTCAGTAACAAGACCAGAAGTTCTACGCTTTCAATTAGGACATTCTGGTTTCCTGCAATGGTTCATTTCTATTGCAACCACGAGCACTCCCCAGCTGAAGAGCTGGAAATCAAGAATCAGAAAGAACCAATAAAGGCCCAGGCAAGGCATGGATGGATTCCCGTGTTTCCTACCAATGAAAGCTAAATTAGAATTAATTACAATAAAGCCTCTTACCAAGTGCTTCAGGAAAGCACCAACAGTGAAACTGTCGGGACTCCTTACTGAATGACTAGCCTTCCATTGATGCACAGAGTGAAGAGCTAGAAATCAAGAATTGGGATGGGATAATCTACTGAGGATGGGGTGAGTAGATATCTAGCATTTCTAGGTTTCCTCCCAATGGCAGCTAAACTAAAACTAATTACAAGCTTCTTAATCGCTGCTTCAGAAAAGCAGTAAGGACCACCATTATTCAACTCCGTCGCGACTTCTTAGCCGAATGATTAGTCTTCCTCTTGTGACGACTAAAGTCTGATACAAATCGGAATGTTTGACCGCATCCTGGTTCGCGGCAAATGTAGGGACGGTCGCCAGTGTGAACTCGTATGTGCTCGGTCCGAGCCCATGCCCACTTGAATGTCATCTTGCAACCCTTCCATGGACACTCGAGTGGACGGTCATCCATGTGGACTTTGCGATGTTGCATCATGTACTTGTGTGAGAATAATTTTTTCCCACACCCTTTAACAGGGCAGATGTCCCGCTTGTGCAATGACAGTTCTTGCTTTGTGCCAAAGCTCAAAGAGCAGCCATCAATATCACAGGTGTACTCTCCCTCATCATCATTTGACTTGGGAGGCTGGCCTCCCTTAGTTCTACTCTCATTTGGCTTTTTGAAGCATGGTTTAACAATTTTGGTTTCATCAAATTTCATTGGTCGTTTTCTGAGACGAGAGCTTGGCCCTCCTTCAGTTTCATCTTTATGTTTCAATCTACTATGACTGCTTCGAAGAATCCTACCTTTGTTTTTCTGAGAAATTTTATCATCATCTTCAATGGCCTTTAAGAAGTTATTTGATTTGTTTAATCTCTGTCTCTTTTCATTCGACTTCTGCATTGGTTTCTTCTTCCTCTTTTTGGGTTCTCTTGAAATACTGCTACTATCATTCGCATAACTCCCCTTGGATTCTGGTCCAATGACAGAATTTGGATTAGTAATACCACCACGCATAAAGGGTCCTTCCTCTGCCTCTTCATCTTGAGAATCCTTACGTTCAGCCAAATAAGGATGGACTTGATTTGACATCCAAACTTTCCCGCACCACTTACCAGCAACAACTATTTTCTTTTGCCGACCTGGTTTCCTTCCAGAATTCTTTGTTTTCCCTGAAGAACTGTTTGGAGAATTGCAGCTGAATGACTTGTAAATGACTGCATTGTATGGCATCTGTTTGCTATAGAGTGGAGATTTGCTAAGACTGGCGCTATAATACAGATTGATGCCGAGTTTGACTGCCCAGTCGCTATTAGTGGGTATGCTCTCCTCATCCTTCAGGGCTGCTTGAATTTTTTCATGATCCTTTTCAGCGGCTTCTCTGAAATCAATCTTGTTCCACGCATAACTAATTCCCAATTCCTCAGCCAATGCCTTTGCCTCAGCTTCGATTTTAGGATAATCTGCATATGATGGTATAGACATGCTTAATCAATACATAAAAAGACAAAATTGATGGCAAAAGAAGCTTAAATTTGAGCTCAAGTGAAAGAAGGCTAAACTACTTAAATCCTTCCGACCCGAACTGATGTGAAACCATGATTTGTTTTCTTAGAAATTAATAAAATTTGTTGTGGCAATGATTAAATAATTTAATGCTTCTCAAATTTGACAAATCAAGAAAGATCTTAGAAGTTAACAGTGCGTAGGCAAGTCGTTACAACTAAATTTTGCAAGTTCCTTAAAATAACAACTTAAATGAACGTAATGAAATGATTAGCCAACTAGAATCCAACGGTTAACAAAGTAATCGTCTCACCTTGAGGCACAAAGTCACTCTTCTACTTCTAGGGTTGTCGGAGGACGAAGAACCATATGAGAAACAAGATCACTCCAAGGTAGACGGCGCAGACGATCCGTAGTGATGGCGAGGGAAGCGGCGGCGGTGAAGGTGGGGAAGCGGGTGGATGTCCGTTGATGATCCAGTTGTAGTCTGAAAATTGCCCGTCGATGACGTGCACAAGGGTGGGGAGGATTTGATCCAAGTAACCGTCAATGGTGTCGTCGTGATCAAACACCACGTCGAAAAATGGGGATCGAAGAACGTGGATGTCTCCATAGACGTCGAACACGAGTCCGCCTTCAAGTTCAGGATCTGCCATGCATCATTGCCGGAAAAGAATGAGTACCAAAGGGGGAGAGAGAGGATATGTGGTGGTGGCAAGAGAGGGGAATGGATTGGGCCGAAGTGAGGGCTTGAAGGGGGCGGATAGGTTGAGAGATCAAAAGAAAATTTCAGGAATCCTGAAATTATTTCAGGTTTTGGGTGAGAGGGAAGGGATTAATTGTGAATTTCAAATTGAATCCCATTAAGGAGGGGGGCGGCAATAAGGAGGGGGATTTGGGGCTGATTTTGTGGAGCTAATAATGGAATTTGGGGAAAGAGAAGGCCCATTAAGGGGGCCGGCCACATGAATAGGAGAGAGGAGCTTGAGTTTTAATTAAATTGATTGCATAAATTAGGGAGTTAAATTAGGAAACATTTAATGGCTCATGAAAATTTGAAATTTCAAATTTTGAAACTCAAAGGAGGGGGCGGCCGGCGGCTAGAGGAAGGGGCAAGGGGCGGGCCAAGGCATGGGGTTGACCGGCCGGCGGCCTGGGGAGGTTTAGGGCTAGGCGGCGGCAACGGCAAGGGGAGGGAGAAAGGGAATTTTCTAGGGATTCGAGCGGCTACAAATTCACTAAACTCAATTATCTTCAATCCGGATTTCCACACAATTAACTTGGACAAACACTAGAACTCACAAAGAGATCTAGTTTTCTCCGACGAACTCACTAAGAGATCTAGGAGGAATGAAGTCACAAAGAGAACAAAGAGCAAATTTTCATTTCATCAAAAACTAACTCAAATACAATGACTAAGCCTATATATAGGCCATCCGAAAAATAAAAAGCATAAAGACGACATTGCCCTTAGGCTACAACAAGCACTAACTCCCTCATAGGGGTACAAATGGAAAAACATGAAATATAAATGACATGAATAAAATAAAACATCAAAAACAAAAGACTATGAATCATGGTCGTCGCTCGACGACCCTCCGATGGTAAGTGTGCTGAAATCTCCTACGGATGTCCTCATCACGAACTCTCTCTCTTCCCTCTGTCTTCCAACCTTCCTCACATTCCTCCATGCTCCCTCCCCCCATCTCCCTCCTAGATGACATTAAAATGGAACTTTCCTTGCAATAATACAATAGAGATAAAAATTTAACATTGAGCTTCTTTCAGGTTACTTCTAACTTTGCTCGAGTACCATCAAGACATGCATTATTTTAGTATGATATTGGACAATTAGTAGCACAACAGAAATATCTAATCATTAAAATCAATTTTTCCAACCACCTAGGGAATTGCCTTTGGAATCCCTGCAAGCAATGTTCCAACTCATTGACTCATTTTTTTAGTCAATTAACTTCTGCCAAACCTTTTGAAACAACTTCTGAACATTGGATCTCACCTAACCCTTTACCTTTATAAGTTCATGATCTCTAACTTTAGATATTCAAAAACAGAAAAATAACTAACATTTAATGCTTCATAAGGTCCGTAAATAAAAATTACAAACATTGCAGGATTATAATTAGAGATGGCTAATTAAAAGGGCAAAAAGTGATATCACATGAACAGAACAACAACAAGAACATCAAGCTTTTATCCCACTAGGCAGGGATAGCACATGGAAAAAAAAAAGCACAGTTCTACTATGGGCATGCAATTCTAGTGTTTTTGCCTGACCTGGATGACATAATAGCATAATATGGACGCCACCAACTGAGCAGAGTTTCTTTTCAACCTCCATAGCATGTTGAAGGCAGAAGACATGCATTCTAGAAGAATCTTTGTCAGATCTCTGCATAGCTTCTACTGCAGCCTTTTTCATGTCAGAGTGATAACTTATTAAATGAGCTGCTCCGTTGGAATTTTCACACGGTACATCTATTCCATAGGAGGGAGCAACACACACAGAAAAATCATCAGAACTAGGTGTCGCGTCCTTACTGCTAGAATGGATAGGCCCTTCCAGAGGCCAAATTGAATTGCTTGAAGTTGGCACTTGCCCACCATCCTCTATACTATGTAGCACCAATGATTTTTTTTGTTCTGGCTTGCAACATCTGGAAGACTCCAATTTCAGGAGACATCTATCATCAGCAATCTCACTTCTAAGATTATTTGGGTCATTAGAAGTAGTGCAGAGAGAATTCTCAGCAGGTACCACATTATGGCACTTTGCACCAACCAACTCTTGTTCAACTTCTGCAAAAGGAACCTTACCAAACCATAGATCTGGGTGCTTAGTTGCAACACGATCATTATCTAGTTTATATGACATTTCATTTGGAAGTCGTTCAACATCAGAATCTGATGACTCGCCTCCATAAGCAGAAGCTAAGAGATCTAGAGCAGAGATGCCATTCTGTTCGGAAATTTCAGAACCCACTTCAATAGGATGTGAGACAAAGGTTGAATATCTACTAGAATGGTCCGTATCTTCGGCAAATCTTTCCTTCACATCCCCATCAATTCGTCCTGCAAAACAGTGCTTGAAAAATAAAATATCGATCCATTAATGCTGGAGCAAACAGTCCTCCATACCTTACTAAATGAACTGTGACTGAGAACAAGCAATTCAATTCTTAGTGGATTTAGTACATTTGAACTGATGTGTAGGCTTGGCATGACATGTTAGAAACAAGAAACTCATATGAATGGTTAAAACTACCAAGGGCTTAATTTAGCTGAGCACATCAAATATGAAAATATGAGTGAAATACTCTTTTGCTTAATGCATTCACAAAACCGAGAAATATAACCTTGAATCATAGATTCATGTCAATCAAGATGAAGAATCAATAAAGTAAAAGGCAAGTTCTCCAATAAATATATTTCATAAATAAATGAAGAATAATGGTTGCCATTTCAACTCTAAAGAGCCACTCATGTCAATAGTTGTAGAAAGAATCCTTCTTCACATGCGGCACAAGTGAATAGGTGCAGAAAGAATCCTTCATCATGTACAACAACAACAACATCAAGCCTTTGTCCCACTACATGGGGTCGGCTACATGAATCCTTTTTCGCCATTGTGTCCCGTTAAAAGTCAAATCCTCATTTAAATCTAATAAAGAAATATCATTTCTAATATTTTATAACCAAGTTTTTTTAAGTGTACCTCTATCTTTCTTAACATAAGACAAATCTAAAACCTCAACTTTCCTAATCGGGTCATCGGAAGGCCTCTGTTTAATGTGACCAAACCATCTAAGGCGACTCTCTCTAATCTTATCTTCCACTGGAGCTACTCCAACCTTTTCATGTATATGCTCATTTCGTATCCTATCTTTAAGGATAAAGCCACTCATCCACCTAAGCATCCTCATCTCTGCAACACTTAACTTAGTATTATGCTTCTCTTTTAATGGCCAACATTCGGCACCATAAAGCATTGCAGGTCTCACCACCATCTTATAGAATTTTCCCTTAAGTTTGAGGGGAACTTTTCTATCACACAACAAGCCCGATGCATTCCTCCACTTCAACCATCCAACTTGAATTCTACTGATAATATCCCCATCTATGTCACCATCACTCTGAACAATAGATCCAAGATATTTAAAGCGTGTACTCTTATTAATGACTTGATCGCCCAAAGTCACAATGCCCTCACTAGGTCTATTGATACTAAAATTACACTCAATATATTCAATTTTAGATCTACTCAAGCGAAAACCTTTGAACTCTAAGTTTGACCTCCATAATTCAAGTTTACCTTCAACTCCCTCTTTAGTCTTATCAACAAGAAGAATATCATTAACAAAAAGCATACACCAAGGTACATCCTCTTGCAAATGTCTAGTGAGAACATCCATGAATAAAGCTAAAAGATATGGGCTTAAGGCTGATCATTGATGTAATCCAACCGAAATAGAAAAAACTTGGTCAAACCACCTTGTTTGAACACAAGTAATAAGTCATGCATACATATCTTTAATGATTTGAATATAATTTGAATATAAGCATTATTAACTCCTTTCTTTCAAGAACTTTCCATAACACTTCCTTCAGAAAATAATCAAATCGATGACATGAAAATCTTCATAGCATTTCATAAGTTAGAAGTCATAAGAATGAATAAGAGAACATTCATCAAGTCTTGCAAATAAATTCAAATAGTTGTTAAAGAGATGAATTAATTTTTCATTAAAACAAACCTTATATAAAAAATACCTGAAAGAAAGTTGCATCTATTGCAATCGAATAATGAATGCAAAAAAAATTCAATAGAAAAAATTGATTACATGAAAATATTTATGATAAGTTAAGTCATAAGGTAGAATTCACATTAATGAATAAAAGAATACTTATCAAATCCAGCAATTTATTTCAAATATTTAATACAGTGGTGCATAGAATAAGCTATTATTTAATAAAAACTAAATACCAAATGCATAGAAGAACCTAATTTTCATCTACCTGCAACCGAAAAATGAAAGCATACATTAATTAAATTATCATGCAATGACGACAAAACTTCAAAATCATTGTAATACATTACATCACGATGGATGATAGCAAATCCTTTACAGAACCATAATACGAACAAATCATGTAGGGCACGAGAAAAATAAGCTTTATATAATCTGCTAACTCGGTCACCATGCATCCATTAAAAAAGAAATGTTATTGACACAATAACAAAAAGAAAAATATAAAAAAAATGATATATTCAATAGACAGAGAAAAAAGAGGACATGAAATGAGAAAAACAAAATGTTAGGTTTATTACCTAAACAGCCATTGCCACCCTGCAATTTTGTGTCATGGGCTACATCAGTAATTTCTCCAGAACAAAAACCCTGGTCAATAAGAGAGCAACAGCCAGCAGAAGTTAGATATCTAGCCGCAGCTTCTCTTGGTTCAACAACAGCCACACAGGCAAAGCTTAATATTCCACATGTGACACATGATAGAAGTCCCTGATCCAACAACCCATCAGCTTCAAGATTGCTTTCTTTTTCCTCTTTTAAATTCCGCAACTCTAGCATGGAAGATGCAACCTCAGTAGTCACAGATTTGTTATTTGAGGTTGCAGCATGCTTCTTTCTGTGGTATACAGCGACAGAGTTTCCTTTCAGAGAACCAAAACCACTTAAATGTTTCATTCCAGTGTTCCTGTCTAACATGACATCATCAGAAGGCAAAGTTCTAGATGCTTTCAGTGCTTCCTCCCGGCTGCACAACCCAAGTGATAATCTGGGTTTAACCTTTACTTGAGATCTGACAAGCAAATTTGATGATAAAGGACTATCTGATGTATCACGCGGAAGAACTATGCAAGAAGATCCCTTCTCAAGCAGAGAGCTTAAAAGGCCATTAGTCTCAACAACACTTTGAACAAAAGTTTTTTTAATCATCAGTTCTCCTTCACCTCGTATCTTATCTTTTAGTCTTGAACTCCTTGGCTCATTATTTCCACACATAGGCATCCTATGCAAGGAAAACAACACCCATATTTACCAATCACCTTATATCCTTAAAAAATAATAGCATTTGAAGTTGTAACTACATTAAACAGTAGCCTTGTACTAAGGACAGCAACTATTACTATTAAGTGCAAACCTTGAACACAATGAAAGTGCCAGAGCATAGAGCAATTGATAATGAGACACCATTGGAGGATAATTAGTGGATGCCCTCCGAATTGCAGCCTCTTTTGCTACTCGTAACCATCCAGGCGTGGCAATATTTGCTGCCTCGCCACAATTAAATCCTACAAACAGTAAGCAAATTGAAAACACGTCACAAATCTTATTCAAGTATACTTAGCATAAAAAAACATTAAAATACATAAAACATACAAGGAAACTTAAAAGAACATATATGAACAAGCAGAAGGGCATTTAAATTCTATTATGTAACACCAATGGCTGCATAACTTCCATGATCATTGAGTTTAACTTAAGAGTTCGTGATAAGAGGATGGGGACAAAGGAGCAGAATGGAGAATATCTCCGATTTAACACCCTACTAACTAAAGAATTGGGAAATAAATCCTAGCAGAATTTACCATTCATACATACCATATTGGACTAAAGATTCTATATATATATATATATATATATATATAAAGAGGCAGCCCTACAAAGATTAACTTTTTAAATTGGCATCATAACAGGATAAACACCAACTAAGATAAAAGCAGGTGACATTGTTGTCAAGCCAATCATGCAAGCTACAATGACACAATCACTCTTAGTGGTTGATTTCTAGTGATGATCAAGTAAAAAGGAAAATAAAGCTATGAATTATTCAATCAGAACTTTTGAAAGATTGCATCACTTACAACAACAACATCAAGCTTTTATCTCACTATGTGGGGTCAGCTATATGAATCATTTTTCTCTATGGTGTCTTATTAGGAGTCAAATTCTCATTTAAATCTAATAAGAAAGGTCATTTCTAATATTTTCTAACTAAGTCTTTTTAGGTCTACCACTATCTTTCTTAATATAGGCCAAATCTAATACATCTACTCTCCTAATCAGGTCATCGGAAGGCCGACATTTTATGTTGCTAAACCAACTAAGGGGACTCTCTAATCTTATCTGTCATTGAAGCTACTCCAACCTTTTCACGTATATGCTCGTTTGACATTCTATCTCTAAGAGTAAAGCCACTCATCCACCTGATCATTCTCATCTCTGCAATACTTAACTTAATTTTATGCTTCTCTTTTGATGGCCAACATTATATGCCATAAAGCATTGCAGGTTCACCGCCATCTTATAGAATTTTCTCTTAAGTTTGAAGGATACTTTTTCATCTCACAACATGACCGATGCATTCCTCCACTACAACCATCCAACTTAAATTCTGCTAATAATATCCCCATCTATTTCACCATCACTCTGGTTAATAGACCCGAGAAATCTAAAAAGTGTACTCTTATTAATGAATTGATCACCCAAAGTCAAAATCCCCCCACTATATCTATTACTATTAAAATTACACTTCATATATTCAATTTTAGATATGTTCAAACAAAAATCATTAGATTCTAAGGTTGACCTTCATAATTCAAGTTTACCTTCAAATCCCTCTCTAGTCTTTTCAACTAAAAGAATATCATCAACAAAAAGCCTGACCTTAAAGATAATTCTGATGGCCTACAAATCACTAAAACATGTACTACTTATAGCCAGGCCTTGCATATTACAGTTTTACAGTATAAGAAAATATAATAGCAGATAGAAAAACTCCTCTCAGCTATAGCACAAATCACAAGACAGTGAGGAGCTTTATACCAAAAATTTATTGCATTCTATAGTTTTTCTAGGTTGCTAAGAAGAACCAATAGAGCACTTTCGCCTACATTAATTTAGTTTTCATTGTCTATAGAAATTTTGTTAGCAATGAATAGCTTAATATCTCATTTGGAAATGACCAATAAGAGATTGCTGGAGTCAAAATGTAAGCATAATGCCTCCTTCCTACAGTTGCCATTGAAAAGGAAAGCAAATTCCCATTCAAGAACATTGCTTAATTTCTTATTTCTGTACAACTTATACTTAGGGATTTTATTATCTAAGGATGTTATCCTAAAGGACTGTTCTAAACAGTTATACTTAGGACTCTGCATTTTTCATCTCCCTAGATCAACATGGTGCAAAATCTACAGTGCTCTCACAGTAAAGATAGGGATGTCTGAAGCTTCAACTCTGCAAATATTGGGATTTGTTACATCCAATTAAACCAAATTATCTAAATATCATATTATTAATCCTGGAGGGAGAGAAAGAGAGAGAGAGAGGGAGGGAGGGGGGGGGGGGCTATAATTGTTGTTACCGAGCTATTAGTGGTTACTGAACTACCACCAGAAGACAATGACATTTTACTAGAGGGATATAAAATCAAACATTCTATGATTTTGCACTCCATGATAACCACAAGTGCAATATATCAAACAGGACTACGAGTAATCCAGATTTCCTAAAGCATTTGCAAATGCTGGAAGTTCACATAGTCATCATCAGCGTCATTATCTTTATCTTCATCCCAACTAATTCTTGTCAGCTTTATGGATCCTCTTTCAAAATTCAATCCTATTGGGTGCTACATGAAGAAAATTCCAGAACTTAAATTTTTAGCTAGTGGATAAAAAAAGTAACATATATGTAGTGGCACAAGAAGTAGCCACAAGAAAAGCAAGGTTTATTTGAAATAAGAGATTGGAAACCAGTAACTTAATGCTTTGTAGATACTGTAGGGAATTACATTTGTTCGGACAACATTTCGGAATACGACTACTTTAAATATATCTGAGAAGCAGTGGAAAAGAAAATAATAGGAATAACTGATAGCATACCATGGCTAAATCCACAATGATAAGATCCAGGGAAAGTGACAACAAACTCTCCAGCATTTTGAACTAATCTGCATCTCATTTGTTAAAATCATCAATTATAGATTGAAAAAAGTAATATTAAAATGAACGAAGTTTATGAAAGTCCTAATTGAATAGCACCTGCAGCATGGAATGCCAGCATCAATAAGCACTTCAGGAGACATAACAGTGGTTTTCTCTCCAAGTATAGTAAATGTCACTGCCACGAAATTAGCAATCTGTAAGTGAGCACATTTATGTTACAAAGAAATAAATGAACTATGAAATGCTATACGAAAGCTATATGATTCGTATTTCAAATTAATAAAATGAGGAATAAGCAGAGTATAAAAAAACAAAGAAAATGATTTATTATGAGCTTATATGTAGAACAAAACAATGCAATAACATAGGGACAACTCTGATTAAGAACCATACAATTTCAAATATGTTTTCTAATGCTCATCTTAAAAGTGAGCAATATAGTCCGTATCAGATGCTTAGCCTATGGGCAGATACTGCCCATTTTGTTTATTTTAGTTGATTTTATTTTTTGTGTTCTTCTTTTTAAATATAACATACCTATGACGATGATTCCTATAAAGATCAGGTTTTGTTCTTTACTATGGAAATTTGGTTGGTTCACTGTTGACTGATTGCTTGATATGATTCGCAGGTTCGTCAAGCGGCATTATGATTGATCCAACAATCACAATTGATTCTTGATTGGGTTCTTTGATTGCTTTTATGATCTGAGTCTTTAGTTTTAGGCTCAAGCAGCTCTTGTGCCTTGGAAGTGTTATTGGACATTTAGCTTATGCACAGCACTTTTGTATTCACGTTCACTATGACTTTGAATCTTGATTTCTGGAAGCAAATTTGTGATTTATCGATTGATTGTTTTTACTTATCACAAGATTTCGTGACTTCCACCATCGCAAGAATCCAACAATAGGTTTTTGTAGATTTATCGTGTGATGTCTATTTGAGAAATGAAATTTTTGGGGAATTCAGGATTACCTTCGTTGGGAATTAAATTATTATAAATACAATCCATGAAAAAATAGTTTATTGTTTGAAAAAATTTTATCATTCCTCTCTACATTTGCATGCAAGTTGGACATAGATCTTAAAGTCTGAAGAAAGTGCTGACTGTCAATTTTCAGGGAAATTCTATCATTTGCATGTTGAAGGCTTGGATTTTATTTGGTATCTCCTTTCCTTGTTTTTTTCTATGTACTTGGTGAACGGTTTGTGAGCATTATTATCGTTTATTAAATCTGTGACACTATAGAGTTTCTGAATGAATCCTGGGATTTTATGCATCGTTTTTATGATCTAAAATTTATATTTTATGAACAATAAATTAACATTTAAAACAAATTCTTTTGTTTTTCTTTCAATTTACATCACACAAAAAAAAAATGGATGTCTAAATAAAAAGTTTATGGATTACAAATTTGGTCTTGGTGTGTCCCTATTGCATCTCAATCAAAATTTGTATTAGGAAACCCTAGACCTTGGGACATACTGCAATAAATTTGGTATTAAAGCATATCGTTGCATCATTGTATCAGCTAAAAGTATGATTAAAAAATTAGACTAATCAAACAAATTAAAATGCAATTTAGATGAAATCGTATATGCTATGATTCTAGACGACAATAATGTGATTATTATGAGGTTCAAAATTATATTCATACATTCCTTGAGATGTATACTCATACAAAATCAAATTACATCAACAATTTTGCAGAATTATTTGAACATTACAATATGCCAAATTATCAAAGTAGAATGTGTTAAATCAACTAGTGGAACATGCTCATTTATTTCAGTGAAGTGTTATTGAGAAATCTATATAGCCAGATATGAAACATAAGCATTAAAAAGCGATATTTTTCATTTCATAATTATAAGATCAACAACATTTCGGGACTGAAAAAAGTTACCTGTTTGCAAAGAGCTCATATTTAACTCGCTAAAGAGCTCATATTTGACTCGCTAAAAAGCTCATGTTTGACTCACTTATTAACCGAGAGTTGTTGCGAGCCAGAACATTCACGGCCGTAGAGAGATAGTGAGTTAAATGTCTTAACTTTGTACAAAGATCAAGCACACACAAAGATACACAAAAAAGGTGCATAAATAATAAGAGACACTAGATTTTTTTACGTGCAAAACTTGAAAAAAAAAATAACCACTAGTGTTTGCCGTTGATAAAAAATGATGCCCTTCCTCGAGGGAAGACATTGGCATGATATAGCATATATACCTTGTATAGAGTATATTACATGGTTGGAGTTGGAAGAATTCCATGGCATGAGAGTTGTTCTTAAGAGATCATTATTTATTTGGTCGGAAAGACCATATTCGGGTGATGAAGATCGGATGGACCGTAGTAGGACAACGGTGGTTGAAGGGACCAAAGTCAGGTGATGGTTGCAGCGGGACAGTAGTTGGGTTATGGTGGTTGGAGGGACCGTAGTTAGGTGACAGAGGTCGTAGGGATTGTAGTGGATGCATGGAGATAGGACCATAGTCGAGCAACAGTAGTCTGAGGGACCGTAGTCAGGGGGTAGTGGTCGGAGGGACCCTAGTAGGGAGACAGTGGTCAGAGGGACCCTAGTAGGGCAACAAAGGTCTGTTGGACATTAGTCAGACAATGGTGATCAGAGAGACCGTAGTCAGACGATGGAGACCGTAGTCAGAAGATGTGGTTGGAGAGTCTGTAATTGGGTGATGGAGATCAGAGGACAATAATCGGATAACAAAGTCCGTAGAAACCATAGTAAGGCGATAGAGTCCAAAGGGAACAGATTACTAACTTTGGGATTACTTAAGCATGTAAATGTATTTGACTTCAAATGTGCTAATTATAGAATTATTCAATTGTTATGATTGAATTCTTCAAGTATTGTGCCAATACATATTATCAATTTTTGGAGGCAACCATCTATCTTATACTAACGTGAAATCTAGATCATAATTGGTATGTATTGTAATTTCTGTTATTGATTCGTGAGGATAGTTGATTTTTGTCAAAAATGCTCTTACAAACTACATTTTCTGATTGTGGTGTTAGCCTTGATCCAATTGTGATTTTATAATCTTAAATTTCTACACACAATTTCCATAAGATAGCCATTAAATTATCATTCATTGCATATGTTGTGCTTTCTGATTTTCATCAAAGATGGTTCTTTGTTGAAATTAAAATTGTGTATGGCAATGTATGGCAAATTTGACTGAGTGGGTAATCTTGTGGATCACATCTTAGATTTGCATTAGAAACTTATTAAGTAAAATATCTTGCATTAAAATGTTTAATATATTGATACAAAGCTCAAGCAGCTTACATTTTGACATAAAAATATTATGTCAGAAATAGCAAATCAAATTTAGTGGGATAACATCATGCACTTGGTAGTTGAAACAAGGGCAGTCATAATATATACAGAACTATATTTTTTAAAAATGAGTAGAAGCATTTTAAATTATTATAGAAAAAAAAACGCTTGCATTTCACAGTTGATTGAGCCAATAAGAATGTGTCTCAAACAAAAGGTAAGCACAGATCTAACCCATATACATAATTAAGTTAATATGATCCAAATTCTATAGGTAATATTTTCCCAAAAAGTGAATATGAATTGTATAGTAGCTTCACTTCTGTCCCAAGTGAACAGGTCCTTTCATTAAAGGTCTTAGATTAAACAAATAGACAAGGAAAATTTAATAGGACACGCTACTAAGCCAAAATGATTGAACGATGCCACCAAAAAGCCCTTGAAAGTTAAAAATTTTAAGGCTAAATACGAGCAATGTTATAGCAATTGATAAAAAATTTTGTGAAATGGTATCCGTGTAAGAATCATCCAGGATAAATACAGAGTGATTCAATGCGGCTAAATATAAGGAACTGTGCTTAATTCTATAACTCTAACATCAAAAAATACATTCTATCTTGATAAGTTTAAATCAGAGACAAGATGATGTAACAAAAAAATTCAATTTCAAGCAAGGACATAACGATCAAATGCATGGAAATCAAGTTTGTTGATATAATGAAGGGGTGGATTTCCATCCCTGCTTGCATGGTCAATCTCCTCCTTCATAAATGTGTGATGATCAAGATCAATCAAGATGACCTCCATTCAATATCGAATCAATCATAGCTAGTCCTCCCTTCAATTCCAATCAACGTGTGGAGAATTTTCAATGCTTCAACTAGATTCATAAAGGCTTGGTTGTCCAAACAAAATAAAGAATCAATATGTTCTCATATTAGAGGGGAATTCTCTTGCAAAATACGGGTTGACCAAAATTCCAACTAGTTTGAAATCAATTTTTGAATTAATCTGTGTATCATTCTTGCCTATTATAGCATGGCCGGGCCCTGACTTACAGTAAAATAAGAATTGTCACTTGAAGTTGTTTAAACCTTCCACTTATGGCATGGAAGGTCACTCCTTTTGTTTATTCTAACGGTTATGCCATATGCATAAATGATATATAATCATGGGATCAATCATTGAAGAAATAAATTTGTTTATTGTTTCTTTCCAAGTATTGGAAGATAGCTTGGTGATTTTTTTCTACAATTGAAGGTCTTTGGTGAGAGCTTAAACCTTTCGTTGTGATTCCTCGAAATACTTTGATGGGAACATTCAAAAAGTCGATGCCAAATGTGGTGAGGATGATTAAGATGGTTGTGAAACAAAACTAGGCAAATGAAATTAAATAATGAATGATTCTAGTAGCATCTAATAAAGATAAGGTAGTTGCAAAATAGATATAAGGGATTTTAACGTATATAATGAAGGATAGAAAATGCTCATACTCTTGATAGTTATCTAATTATTATGTTTTAGAAAAAAATTAAAAATTAAAAAAACCATTGAGTTTTATAAGAAGACATAAAACATGTAGTCAAGTTCAGCTCACTGGGAATTGTATGAAATTGCACAACATAAATAGTACACTATAGAATAGTGCGTTCTTACACAAACTAGGAAAAAAATTACCAACTATTATATATTCAAAATATATGCACTGCGCCATGTGGATGTCAATCTATAGTTAGGATGCACTTCTAAAGTACAAGTTCAAGCTCAAATAGGAAAAAAAGGGATAGATGCCTTAATAAGGTTATTGGAGATTTACGAATTATAAGGCGAAAAAGCGGGCTTTTATTTTTTATTATTCTTGTTATTTTTCAGTGAAGGAGGTAGAGGTGAAACTTTGTCCTATCGTGCACTGATTTAGATATCAAACTAGTCACCAAATCTATAGCAGAGAGAAGAATCTTTTATATAAAGCTATATCCTAAACTGCATGGTATTCCCCAAAATTACCAAGACAATAATAGAAAGACAAGGGATTAAAACAAGAAGCAGCAAAAAGAAAAGGCAAAAACAAACTTAAAACTTCTACAAAAAACAGTCCATCATAAATAACATCTACCATACTAGTAATTAGTGACATCTAACAAAAGTAAGTAGAATGAGTCACTAATTGAACTTTGGGTCATTATCAAGCCCCATCTCTAAATACGGAGAGTACCTGGACAAGTCAATATTGCGAGTTAAAGTAGTTAGACAATGCTCCTGCCATTTCTTTTTTTCTGAATAACCAATTCGCTTTCCCCTGTCCCAAAGAGCTTGTTCTACTCACCACTCGTAATCCTCCTAAAATGTTCACTAATTTCACATACCGTCATATAATCCTTATCTTTTGCAGTTATACATATATCTCATCATCTCTACCTTAATTACTACATTAGTGTAGTTTTTGTATGGTATGGTATCCATATTGGCATTCAAATTCAATACCAGAAAGTTTCAAAAGCTAAACAAACTGAAATAGAAATATCAAGGTGGGGAAAAGACGCACTCAAGGGATTGACTTCTCCGCAGTATCCGTGAATCCTTACAATGTCCTCAAATGCAAGAGCAGCATCTCTTGGCACCCCATACCAGGTCTTTCCAGCGCCCAAATGCAGGTAATTCATGCTATGTAGCTCATGATCCTCCACATGCCAGGCAAACCAACTAAACATCATGGCCACATAGACCATAGGGGAGGTCACGCCAGGAATCTCTTCCTTCATGAATCTCAGAAGCGAGCCCTTGGCTCTCGACACTCCCCTCATATTCCAGGCAGTCTCCCCTACATTGCTTGCTGCCTCTTCCTCCCTCCATCGCTTCCCTGTGGTGCTGCCAATGGGCGGAAAGCCCGAGCCCGGTATGTCATTGGCGTATTCCACAGAAAAGGGCTTGTCAGCACAGGCCTTCCAGTAAAGGGTTTCTAACTCAAGCGCTGATAGAGATGAAGAAGACAACTTGCTACTCCTTTTCTGCCGGTTCATATGCTTTTTCTTCTTCTTCTTTAGAGAGAAAGCGCCAGAGGCGGCGGCGGCAGCAGCAGCAGCAGTAGCGGGGGCCGTCTTCGAGAGGTAGGAGAGCTCGAAAAGCTTGGCCTTAGCCTCGAACTGGGAGAGAGTGTAGCAGTCACCGCTCTGCCAAACAGGCTTCTGGACGGGGCGGGGGCGGCGGGGGCAGAAGCCGATCTGCTGGTGGCGGGTGGAGAAAATCGGAGAGCGCTTGGAGTTAGAGTTGGGACTAGGGTTTGGGCTAGGCGAAGTGCTAGAGTTGGGTAGGCGGGCAGCAAAGGATTTGTTAAGGTTGGCAAAGGCGGTCTTCTTAGGGGCAGCGGGTAGCGGGGGAACGATCTTGCAGATGCCGTAGGCAGAGGCCTCCTTCTCGATCTTGAGGATGTAGGCGATTGGATCCTGGAACTCCGAGAGGGTCGGGCGGTACTCCGGCGCTGCCGGAAGAGACTTCAGCCATGGGAGGATCTCAACCGACGGCGGCTCGACCGCCATTAACGAGGATGAGAAAAGTGAGGACCGGAGAAATCAAGCTTCTTTTCTCAGCTAAAGTCGATTCTCATTTGTTGCTAAGAATGGTTTGGGGTTGCAGTGGGTGGAGCAGAAGAACGGCGACGGGAGAGAGAGAGAGATTGGCCGGAGTGGGGCTGGAGCTGACAATTGTGTGCAGGCAGAGTAAATGTGATTAGCGTGCAGCGGTTCGGCAGTGGGTGCGGACGAGCATCCAAAAATCGAAACACTTCTTGCACAACATTGTGTTGCGTTGTTTATTTTTTATTTTCATTTTTTCTATTTTTGAGCCTGGTTTTGAATCCGGCCAGGCTTCTGGATAAAAATAAGGAAAATTTACATAAATATTGCTTTATATCATAATATCAAATATACTACTCATATTTTCTTCCTACCACTTATATATTTTATTTATACCATTCATATTTTATATGAAAATGAACTATGGTGGTATATATGTAGTATTAAAATTTTAAGTATTAAATATGTAAATAGAGTAGTATAAAGTGAATATATATATGTAAATCTCCCTAAAAATAAACGATGGTTGTAAACAATTTTTTTTGGGCATTTAGGTCATTTAAGACAAACTCACACACACAATGTATACAGAAGACTCGAACCCAAGACCTCTTAGTTTGGAACTTTTATTACGTCCGATGAACGTACGTAGAGCTATGTTCGGCCGGCACTAAGATCGTAGGCACAAAACAAGAAATACCGAACAAATACCAAGCAATACTAACAATAACGAGAAATACAATTATGTGAAGACAAAATACCGAGCAATACCGAGTAATCCCAAAAAATACTGAGTTTTTTTCTAGAAAAAACTCGGTATAGCTCGGTATTACTCGGTATTGATCTTCACAAAGCGGCATTCCTCATTATTACCAAACAATACCTAGCAATACCGATCAAATACCGTGCAAAAATCGAGTAACAATCCTCTGACCGAACGTAGATCTACGTTCGATCAGAGGACGTAATAAAAGTTCCTTAGTTTGAAGCATAAGGTCTCAATCAATAAGCCAAGATGAATAGTGTTGTAAACGATACTTCAGTAAGTTCAAGAAGCGACTCATAATTTAAAATTAAAAGCTTCAATGTTAGACAAACTCAAAGCAAGTGCCAATTTTTCCTAAAAGCCGCTAGATCCAGTTTATGATCCATTTTGACCAAGGCTTGATGTGGTTTCATATATTATGAAATCCTCTTTGATCATTTTGGTGAAGATCTATCCATAAATCATTTTGGATCAAGTAGAAAATCACGAGTGGTTTAGATTTCATGGTTTTATTACTACTTTTAAAGCAGCTTTTCTGTAAAAAGATTTAAATTTTTGTATTAAAAATCTGCTTTAAGAAGCAGTACGGAAGCCGTCTCAAACGAAATCTAAAGGAAAATCTAGACATGACCTAAAAAATTTGAAGTTCATAGAAAAATTCATTTTAAATCAAAATTTTATAAATAAACCTTCCATTAATTTAAAAAATTCATATAAATTTTAAAAAAAAATTAATAGGTTTTTCGCTAACCCTATGTTTTATTTTATTTAAATAATGTAGAAGGTTAGTTATGTAAGCTTAGGGGTCATGGTTAACCCCCTAAGTTCAAATTGATGCAATGGTATATCCAATAAGATTTAGGATCTGTGATTTTTTGTGTTTTTTTTTTAATTAAAAAAGAAAGGTTACGATGAAAGACCCCAAACAGGGCCACAGCATTAGTTTACAAAAGGAACAGCAAAGGCACAAAAAAAGGCCAAAATGAAAAGGGCTCCAAAGGCACAGACTCAGACCAGCATCGGGTTGCCAGGGAGGAGCCATCCATGGGGCACAGCAAAACCGACAGAGAGAAACAGCCAACACAATGAACCACCCAGATTGCTCACCAATCCTGGCCATCCACGATGCTTGCAGCAGCGCTGCTTCCTCATCGACCATAACATAACTGATAGAACAACCACACCGAAAGGAACCGTCGAGAGCAACCACACAAAAATAGAATAATAGATCCAATGTGCAGCCAAAAGAAACCAAATGAGGAGCCACAATAACCATCAGCGACCACGACGGCCCCTTCCCCGTGACCTACCACGAGAAGCAACGGGGACAAGAGGTTTGTCAAGTAACACATTGAAAGAGTTACCAGGATCGTCGTCCCCAGAAGATTCCAAAAAATCAGATTCAGAATCAGATGAACCCTGAAGCCAGTCCAGATTCACACGAACATCAATACCTGAATTGCCCTTTACATTATACACTAATTATTGAGGATTAATTAAAGTGACAAGAACATCTACCAAATTATTCTTAACTAAACAGTCTTTAGGAATCGAGTTAGAAGCGCCAGAAACAGAAGCATCACACACTCCCGCACCCATATTATCAGAAACAATAACAAGTTTACTCGGACATTCCAACACAGACGGAGCAGACCTCACAAACATCAGAGGACCAACACACGGAGGACCCTCAGCACTATGACAGACACGAGGGGAAACGAAATTCAAGCCAAGAGGAAGAAAAGGTTTAGCGTCAGGAGATAAAATAGCGGCCGCCTCATCACCATTAACATTACCACCCACATCAGAAACCACAACATTTTCCACAGCAGCTAAACCGACCAAAACAGGGGAGGTAGGATCACGATCAGGCGAAATAACAGAATGCACCACAAGTCCGAAACTAATAAAATCATTCTGAATAGGCATAGGCATAGGCGAGCCAGAAGCATCAACATCACCATCTACACAATCAATAGCCATATCCACTCTACCACTTTCATTAATCAAAGCCTTAAGAAGCACATGGGGTAAAGTTACATGATTATCACAATCCAAAATGCCCGGTACCACCTTAACAGCAGGATGGACAACCGCACGATTAGAAGGAGGGTGAAGAAGCGGGCAATCAAGTTTAAGTGACCCAGGGACTTACAGTGAGAGCAATAAGAAGGAAAGGGATCCATCACAATCGATTGAATGTAGCCTAAGCTCTCGGAACCAATCCAGATTTTCTCAGGATACACTTTGGTAACGTCTAATTCCACAAGTACACGAGCAATATAAGGTCGCCTACCAGAGGAGGTAGCCTGATCAATTTTCATATGTTTACCAAACATGGAACCAAGTCCATGTAAGATTCTAGGGGCAAAAAGATGCGGCCTGAGGTTGGGAAAGGAAACCCATATATGGATAGAAGGGGATTCGACATCAATGTCAAAGGTAGGGGATCATTTGAAAATCTTCATGAAACAATTGTTCACTAAATATGAGCGATGGGAAAAAACGCGACAATAATCCATATCATTCTCAAGTTTGATAAGAATATGCTTAGAATTAAGGACAGTGACAGAAAAAACACCCATAAGTTTTAGATTGAAAAAAAATCTTCGAATCGTCTCCAACGACGGGCGGCGAGTCAAAAATTTACCAACAAGCGCAAACTCAAAAGAAGAAGCAAGGGCTAACACTTCCTCATCCGAAATCCAGAGAGAAGGAAGCCCTCGAAAAGATGAAATCTTAAGATCAGAAAAAAGAGGAGTTAGAAGCATGGGAAGAACCCGCTAAAGCCTCACGGAAAGAACGAGACGAAGAAGAACCTGACAAGAAACCTGGATCAAAAAGCCTTTTACCCTCCATAACAAAGGAAATCACATAAAAATGCAAAAGAAAGGAGAATAAAACTTCCCAGAGGCGGCCGGAGAAGCACGCGACGAAGGCAGAGACGGCGCAAGACACCAAACCCTAGTAGAGCACATCTCGCTATATTATTCTAAATGTGATTTTTTGTGTTAATTATGCATAGGATAAGGAGTTTAGAGCCACTAATTGCACCCCCTTACTTACCCCCTTTCTAAGGTAACCTAGTTGTTGCCTTTGGTGGTTTGGTTAACCATATTAGGGGATCCTTATTGGGCACAAATTAAGTGGGCTTGGGCCTTGAGATCAAGTGATCTCATAGCCTAAATTTCACTGTGATTGGTGCCCATTTGGTCAACCAACTAGGAACCCTCAAATCCTCTCCTAGATTTTGCCTAGAATCTTAATGAAATCATAATTAATTCAAATTATATCTTAAAAGTTTAAATAATCTCTCTAATTGTTCATAATTGAACCCTTAATCCATGAAAAATAAAACCCTCATGGTCAGACCTCTAATTTAAATTTTAAGGAAAATAGATAATTAATTCATTTAATTAATTAAAAATATTTAAAAACTATAGAAAATCCATAAATACTTAAAAATAAAATCCTCTTAGGTTATTCCTGACCTTTGGGAGTGATTCCAAGAGGTTTGTGATTGATTTGAATCAAAATCTAAAAATTTTCTTAATTAGGCAATTTTAGAAAATCCAAAAATACCTTAACTTTGAAAAAACACCAAAAAATCTAGAAAAATCTATTTTAATCAAACTGAAAGCCATTAAACTCTAATTAGAATATAGTATTTTCTAAAAATATCAAAACTCTAAAATTAAGTCAAAGTAAAAAAATCAACTTTTTGGTCAACCATAGTTCAAAACTAGGTCAAAACTTTGAAAAATCATAACTTAATGTAAAAAATTTCAAATTGAGCAAACTTAGAGTCTAATTACTCATTTTAAGGTGTAATTTTTACGAAAAATACTAAAATTCTAGAAATAATCTTAAATTTAAGATGTCAACTTTTGGCCCCTAAATTAATGTAATTAAATAATTCCAAAAATTCCAAAAATTCAATAATTCATTTAAAATTGTAAAGAATTTTAATTTAACCATTCAAGTCAGCAAACAACCCATCTAATTAAAATTTATCAACCTTTAATCCTCAACCAATTATACAACAGCGTCTTTAATATGAGATCAAAGATCACCTCTTTGGGAAGTTGGCCTGATGAATTAAGTGGAGTGTGAATTTAGACACTTGGCAAACTAGTTAAATTTAGAACAAGATGTACTTATCTTCAAAATGGTGATCTTGATCTTCAAGCTATCCAACTCCAACCTGATATTTGTAGCGATAATTGTGAATATGAAAACAAGGTGAGTAGCTCGGGCCACTGATCCCTTCATAAGTTGCTTGATCAAATCTTTTCTGGTTCCTCAAAAATGTGTTGCTTTGTAACCTTTGGATGGTCATTGAATTCTCAACTTGGAAGCCAACCTACATGGAAAGCACTTATTTGTGGTATTGCAGCATCTATAATAGAAGGCTATGAAGTCGACACTTGATGAGGTTCAAAGGTTAGCACTATAAAAGGTTGTAGAACTAATGTTTCAATTAAAAGGTTCCACATTGAGCTAACCAAAGAAAAGCTACAACTAACTCCTTGGGCTAAAGAATATCCAGCAAGAAGCTCATTGAAAGTTTCCATCGCTACAAGAGCTTTGCTCTTTCTTATTTCATCAACCTTCTCAATCTTCTTTAGATGAGGGAGAGATGAAGATTTCTCCAAGTCGATCATGGCTATTTGGTATTTGTTTCTCAACACCAACATTCTAGTAATGTCCTAGGTAGAAAGCTTTTTAGTTTAATCCAAAAGAATAAAGAAAACCAAACTAAATGACACTTCATGAACTCTAGAAGGTATAGATTTTTTTTTTCTATAGAAAAAAAATTTTATTCGAGTTGAATCACTGACTTAGTAGAAAATTTATTTCGTTCACTTTCTCTTTTGTAGTTAGCTTCTAAAGATGTGAAGAATCATAATACTAAATGTACACACATATATCATCTAGGCCCATATTAATATTAAACTAGACAGAAAAAGGATTGACTTAACCAAAAACAGTGATTTCACAAAACGTCTCCAATTCACTAAATGATGCGAAGTAGTTAACTTGTCAACCCATGGGAACCTCAAAAAGTCCACCAGAGTCTACTAAGCCCTAAGGAGGATAGGACAACACCCCCGAAGCTCAGCTTATCCAAACTAATTTTACTAACTCATGATTTTCTCTTGGCTAAAGTAGTAACCACCTTTGTATATGATGATGATATTATTCAAGCAAAGATTCTTGCTAATATATGCCATTGAATCAACCATAATACATGCTAGTGAATAAAAGCATATTTAATCATAACTACGACTATGCTCCTTATGTAAATAAATGATAAAAAAGTCATGAATATTTACCATATAACTTCTATAATGTCAAACCTAAGGTCTAAGCCTAGAAAATGGGATATATATATATATATAAGTTCTCTCCCTCTAGTTTCATAGTTAATCTTGCAGATAAAGTCCATGTGTTAAACACAAATAAAAATTGATCCAACTTTCTAGACTAATATTAAGGTTTTCACAAAGAATGTCTTTTATATTAACTATTTTCCTAACTTCCAAAAAACATAGAAATACCTCATGAAAAATACAATCATGTAAGTGTTCAATTTTCAAGAATATTTGAATGTCAATAAATCCCTTTTTTTATCATCATATTCAAAATTTTATGGTTAAAATTTGGTCAAATACCATCTAAATTTTCAGACATATTTCATCAAATAAAACAATCCTCTCTGCAACCTCTTATTTACTTACTCTCCAGAAATTCTCAGATCACCTCTGACCACAATCGATCCATCGCTACAACGATTAGTCACAAACAATCCATCATTGCCGGCGACCAGCAGTTGCCATCAAGCAGAGATAACTAAGAGAAGGATTAATACATAAATTTTACACAAAAAAGTTCTCCGATCCTTTACAAAATAGCAAAGTAATTTTTATGGCCAAGATTCCAACTACAGTAATTATGAAATAAAAATGTTCTTATTTTTTTCTTACTCTTCCAATATAATTTTTTTTTAAGTTTTAGTTGGCTGAATCCTCTTTCGTATACCGACTCGACGGCGCCAAGCATCGAGCAGAAAATGTGGGAGCAAAGAAGCAAATCCCCATTGAATTGCATGCGACCAATAAGGAGTGCAGAGTTGCTCATAGCCTATGCAACGAACCGATGCCTTAGCAAATTTATCTGGTGATGGAATGAAGGTGGAAGGCTGTTCGATGGAAACCATCTTGGTTGCTACGTAGAAGGGGATCTGCATCAAATAGCCAATGCAAAAAGGTTCAATTTTGTTTCCTTTGATGCATGGATGATCAGAGAGGAAAAACAAGGATGAAGATTGAAGAGTCTACTTCGCTATGCTTTTGTTTGTGACTATCAAATTTTTATCATCTTATATTTTTTAGTTTCGCCAAATTCTCGGCATGTGAAAATATGGATTGTCAAATGCAAAATTAAATTAAAATGAACCATTTTGAAGAAATATACAAAGAAATGGCAAGCAATGTTGAGATATGCGTCCAGCTACCAAAACAACTATCAAGTTTCGGAGAAGTTATTATGTGCAGATACTGAACGGAGAGAACCGTTCGGATTTGCTGCGTTTTGCAAAAGAGCAGTAAAAGAGCAAAAAATATTCAATTATGAATGCATTTTTATTGCACTTTTGCTGCTCTACTCCAAAGCGCAATAAAAGCCCAACAAATATTCAATTATTTAGTAAATATTTGCTGTCCTTTCGTAAAGGCATAGCAAAATGACAGTAAAAGCACAGCAAATCCGGACAATTCTCTCCCTGTCGGTGTCCACACAGAATAATTAGTCAAAGTTTGGAGGCACTCGCTCCCAAGTCAAGATTACCCCGAGTTATCCCACTATTGTTGGAATTTTTATTGCGTCCTCCCACCTGACGTAGAGATACGTCCTCCCATCCCTAAAAAACTCGGTTTTTGCTCGGTATTGCTAGCTATTATTTGATATTAACGAAGAATATCATCATATGAAGACAAATACCAAGTTATACCGAGCTATACCGAGCAATACCGAGCTATACCGAGCAATACAAAAAAATACCTAGTTTTTCCTTGAAAAAACTTGGTATTGCTCGGTATAGCTCGGTATTGCTCGGTACAGCTCGGTATAGCTCGGTATAACTTGGTATTTGTCTTCACATGATGATATTCTTTGTTAATACCAAATAATAGCTAGCAAAAACCGAATTTTTTAGGGGTGGGAGGACGTATCTCTACGTCAGGTGAGAGGACGCAATAAAAATTCCTATTGTTGAGGCCACTGCTATGTGCCCTTCACAAAGAGAAGGGCTAGAGCTTCTTGCATAGGCATATAATGATCGTGTTGACGAGACACTTCCATCCCACAGGAAGAGACCACTTTTAGATCATTTCTCCACCCAAGAAGCCGAGCACTAATCACTTAAATCTCCCACGACCATTAATGCAGCAGGCATTACTGATGGAACAAGTTATGTTATGTGTCGATGGGGAGGAGAACAAATTATTCCAGAAGTTGACAAAAAAAAAAAAAAGCAGAAGAAAGATGATCGGGCTGTTCTTTCTTCTGCTCAATAAAGTTCTCAATAATATGCTCTACTATAATTCTTTTGTCCCTCTTAAGGAGGAGGGAGAATGGTTGAGGAAGGTGAGGGGAAGTTTAGGATAAACTAACTAAACAGAAGATATAACCAAACTCTTTAGAGATCAATTTTGCGTTAAGTAAAAAATTGATAATGATAGCAACACAAGATAAGCATATGTCAGCTCACTTCAAAAGGGTATATAGTATGTCAAATGTATGCCTATTCACAAGAAAAACTCATTAGTATTGGTGGTCCATGAGAGCAAGTTTAATGATTAAAAGATTTCCTAAAATTGACATGACTTCTAACAAAACAAGTGTAGCATGTGTTCTTTAGGAATTTTGAAGATGGTGCACAATCTACTAATGTAAAATTTATTGAATTTAATCTAGATTTAAAAGATGACAACAAATTTTGAAGATGACGACGAATTAATTTTATTTTGCGGCAGAATTTTCCACCGCAAAAACCTGACTTTCCTGTATTGTTAAAGCCCAACATGTCATAGTTTGGAGCATTTCTAGACTCCAGACCTCTTAATAAAATATACCTCATAATCAAATAAATCATATCTTACCTAAAGTAGGTAGGGGAAAATCTCTAAAACTGCTAATAATTTTTCTAAAAATTTATTCAGGTTTATAAATTCGCTGTAAAATATGATTTATGTAATTTGAGATGACAAGTCATCCAATAACAAAAATAAAAATTTCAAATCTATAGTTTATTTCCCCATGCATCTCAAGAGATTACCTAATATCTTACTAACCACTTATATTCTCCCATTAATTTAGGAATGTAATGCAGATAAAAATTTATATTTTATTCTTATGATAATCCCTAATCCTTTTATATTTAAGAAATTAAATGAACATCCCTATCAGAGATAATGATTGATGATAATCCATGAAGACTAATAATTTCTTTCAAAAAGCTTGGTAATATATAAGACATCATTAATTTTATGATAAGGCAAAAAATGTTTTATTAGAGAAAACATATAAAAATAAAAATAAAAATGCTTTTAAATTCTCTAGGAGGTGTCCTAGATAGTCCTATGAAGAAAACTATAAATATATCGTTCAAACAATGTGAAGTAAAGCAGTTTTGGCAGTAAGAAAAGAGGAAGTCAGCAGCAAGGAAAGTGGCAGAAAGGTTTAAGGCATGCATGTGTGAGCTTCATGCTAAATAGAGAACAATATATAAAATAAGGGGTGGTAGGGGCAATTGGTTAATAAGTAATTCAAGTTTAAAAAAAATAAAGAAGATCAAACACACTATTATTTTAGGCTTAGACCTCATATATATTGAAGCAAGGTACCCCTCACACTATGTTAGCACATGCTTCATATTTGAGGCTTTGGGGCATACCCTCAAAGCTAGCTAAAATTATAACTTTGCATTGATTTGCACCTAAAATTATTCAATTTTAAACAATGCTATTAGCGACACAGTTTAACCTATGTTTAGTTGGATTGGCCAGGTCAACTTTAGAGGTGATATTACCCAACTTTAATTTGAGTGTGGGAGAATATGATCTCCATCACTTGCTATTGAGAATTACAAAAAAAAAAAAAGTTTGAGATTGAAATGCATATAATGAAAGCTAAAAATAAACCAATATTCAACTTATTCAAGAAGACCTTTTAAGATCCTAAATTCTAGTTGAATTGTGACGCCCCAGGCATCCATAGTGAAAGGATTCGTCTGACATTCTGATCGAACTCCATTCCAGTTGCCTTGCTCGGACCTGAAATTGTTAACCACATATAATGAGCTTAAATAGCCCAGCAGGTCACCAAAGCCTACAACTGAAATCAAAGCACGGTACTGCTATCAATATGCATGTCAGATATGCATCATAGCCAATACCATCATAGTTATCACTTTCAAAGCCTGCAATGTAACAACGCATGTACTGCATCAAGGACTATGCCATACCTAAACATGCATTAAAACTGTCAGATCAACATCTTTGTCAAAATAAAACTTATGTCATAATAACACTTTACCACAATAAAGCCTATATTATAGTAAGTCATCCAAGACATCTCTGTATTACAGCAAGGCATACGTCGCTAGCAAGAACTACACTACCACTGAAAGCCACATCACAAAACATGAGATCAACCCACACCAAAACTACCTTCAGTTATGCTAAACATCATCTTATATAGTAACTACAAATAATAATATAAACATATATTAATAGTATACAACTAAGGGAAGAGTAATACCTTGTCGACCTTTTCTAACTAGGAGAAGCTATATAGCTAAATAGGAAATCTCCAATAATTCTTTTTCTTTATTAGATAATCTATGTAAAAAGACTTTGAGCCTTACTTGTATACTTTACTAAACTGCTTGTGAGTGTGATATGGGTGATATATCAAGTTAAATTCAAGTAAATTTGTCTTAACCCAAAATATTATAATTTTGACTTGAGTAAATAGTGTTTAATTTCAGTCGAGTTTCAAGTTTAAATCAATAAAAAATCTATTAATTTTATAATATATTGTTTAATCATTACTAATGATTATCATATATCTCATCAAATTCAAATTATATATGTAAAGATATGTTCTAAAATATATTGAATATAAATGCATATTTTTGTGCATATACAAATCACGATATCTATATGGCCCACTTTGCTGCAGATCTGACAGGTCATTCATTTAACATTGGGAAGATGATATCCACGACCAGTTGTGCTATTGTTGCGTGTGAAGGGTTGTTTGGGAATAAAGCAACAACCATGGGGAAAATGAGGGCAAGCAGAAAGTGGACCACGAGAAGAATGACATCTAGTTGTATAGAGAGCAAGAACACAACTTGGAAGAGATAAATCTTTGTAAAGCTCATTTTGTAGATTAATTTCCTCACTGCATTACAGGGAATACAAGTCATCAAGACTAATGAGATTAATAGTTGTATGAATGATTTTTTTGAAGGTGTGATATGATGGAGGCAAGCCACTGAGGATATATAAGATGATATCCTCCGTATCAATGTGAGAACCAACAACAACAATATTGTCCACTAAGGCTTTGATGTGAGCAAGTATTGGGTCATGGTGTTGTCATTCATGTTGATGTGATGAAGTTCATTCTTAAGTTGAATGACATGAGGTCTATTGGTTGGTTACGTTGAAGTTGCTTTTTAAGAGTAATCCATCTTTCATGAGTGAAGTGTAGGTTAAGAATATAATGAAAAATGGAAGGAGATATGATAGATAATTTGTTGAGACCATATTTTGATTTGTATGTTTCCATAAGTGATAATTTGGGTTGTACGAGATTTTGCCAATAGAGGAGGTAATTTGCTCTGGTGGGCAAATTTGTCTACTAGTTAAAAACCCTTCAAATCCATTTGCAAGGAACATTTTGTAGATTTGTAGCTTCCATATTGGGTAGTTTTCATTGTTAAGATGAATGTTAAGAATGAGCTTGAGGTTTTGCATGAGAAATCTTAGTGATGAGGACATCGAAGATCAACGGCTACGATCATGTCTATTTATTTTGACATATTTTATGTATTTGATTTATTAGTGTTTTTTTTCCTTTTCTACCCTCACTTGAGGGCTTTATCTTATGTTTGCCCTAGGGGCAATTGTGTATTTTTATTTTCCTTCATGTATTTGGCTATTTAAGCATTCTCCCTCCTCTTAGAGAGGGGAGGATGATTAATATGAAATTTTCAGTTTGTGCTTATGGATCTCTTTGTGAGTTCTAAGTTTTTCTCTTTGGATGATCTCTTAGTGAGTTCGTGAGAGGAGAGGCCCAAGTGGGGCAAAAGCAATACCCGTCAATCTTGGTGGATTCCAAGGTTTGCGGTTCTCTTATCTTGCTTTTCTTTTATTTTCTTTTTTTTTTTCTTTCTTTTCTTGCATCGAATCCCCTCCCCAATCTTCCCACCCGCCGGCCTCCTACTCCCCTTCCCCTTCCCCTCCTCACAAAACCGAGCCCACCTTCACTGGTCCACCGCCCCCTTAGTCGCCCAAACCGCCGGTCACAAGTCCAGCCGCCGGCCAGCCCTCCCCTCTCCTCCTCCACTTGTTCCACCCGCCGGTCCACCCACCATAATCCTTCAAATTCGAATTTTGAAATTCAAATTCTATCATAAATACTTTCCTAAATTATCTCTATGTAATTTAGGAGGGAATCCTTGTTAAGATCATCTCCATAGCTGCCCGCCTACTTTTCCACTTCAATATCCAAGTGCCTGTGCAGCCAACAAGAGGAAATCGCTGAAAAATCCCCTCTCTAGCTTACTATCCAGATCCCTGGACAGGTTCCGTAAGCTGAACCTGAATATTGGAGCCTTGAAAACTGCTGTCCAGACTCTGCCAATTGCTGTCCAGAGAAATTCTACTTCTCTTCCTGCTGTTCAGCTGGTCGGGGAATCTTCGTGTGCTGTCTTGAAGGTTCAGATTGCTGCCCACAATACCAAGAAGGTTCTTGGTTGCCGTCCACTTCTTCTCCAGCACCCAAACCGTCGCTGAAGCTTCATATCTTCTATTTCTTTGGAGTTTCCAAGTGCTGGAATTGCTATCCAGGTCTGTGAAGTTGCTGTCCAGAATTATTTCATGTGCCAAATTGCTGTCCCGACCCTCATTGCCACTGTCTGAGACGTTCATAGCTGCTGTCCATCCATTTTGGTTGACCTTCCATGACTTTCCCGCTGTCCAGAAGGTCTCTAATCGCCATCGTGAAGGCTTCCAACCCTGAAGTTGCTGTTCACTCTTCCCCAAGTTCATAATCGACCACACTGGAACATCGTAACTCCCCTTCTTTGGGTAAACTCTCCCTCCAAACTCTCTTATCTTCCTAGTGCACTTACTACTTGTGGTTATATGTTGATTCACGACAAACGTGCTAATTCTTCTCCGTTAAAGCCTAGTAATTAGAAGAGTTGAGTGAGGGATCTCCTTGTAGTGACTAGTCTTAGTGTTAGCATTGGGATTTATGGTTGAAAACCAATCATGTATGCAACGTTGCATTAATTGACTAGTTTGCAATCTTAACTTCAACGCATGTGATTTAGCCTAAGCTTATTTTATCACCTTATCGTTTTATTTTGTCGTTTATCATCAAGATAAAGCTTATAATTATTGTGCTCTAAAAATTAAGCGTGTAAACTTCCTTAATCCAATCATCCGTGCATGTACGTTTTACATCACTTAGTGAAGAAAGTATGTTGAAGTTGGCCATGGAGGAAGAGTGACGAAACAAGTTGAGCAGATGAGGCAGCGTTTTATTCTACCATTTGCAAGTAGTGAAAGAGTACATGTTAAGCTTAGTGCCATGATATCATGAAGAAAGGAAGATGCCGAAATATAGTAAAGACACACATAGAGAGAGAGAGAGAAAGAGAAAGTTCTCCTGAAACAATAACTTTATATTCATATTGAATTAAAGAGCTTGTGGTTTATATATATATTGCATTTGTGTATTAAGATACACAAGTATAAGTCTATATTATATATTGAGAAAATTTTGATTTCAATCAAATTAATTTCTAATGAGCTATTTTTCGTCTATTAAAATTCATATGATTATCAAACAAGCTTAGAACATAATAATCAAACTCTTTGTAACATTGAGAAAATGACAAAAACCTTCACTTATACCTCACAATATAACTTATTCAATTTAATGATGAAAGTTTTAAATCAAAAAAATCTACCAATCACTATCTATCTTTTCAGGGTGTTCCTATATATTCTACATTTGTTCCATTGTTATAATTAGAACAATGCATGAAGCCATGAAACACTAGTTTATGCGAAAGCAGATGGGAAAAAAAGCAAACCTGGCACTGCACATCGATTCCCATTCTCTTGTACTCAACATACAATGATCTTGAAAATTGGTTGGTGTACCTAAAAACAAGCAAGGAATAAAAATAAAACCATTACATGACACTTAAGGCATTAAGTAAAAATAAAATTTTTAATTTTTAATTCCTATATCATATAGAAAGTATAATTTATTTTTTTATTTAGACAGAAATATGTACACCATAAAAAAAAAAAAACATACGAAAAATAGGAAGCATCAGATTTTATGATTAAAATCAATTAAAAGAAAAATTATAAGATATTGCTCAATCAGAAAATCTCCACTAATTTTGGTCTCTATCTTTATTAGTTTAAGGCATCTTTTAGGATAGCGTATTTACTATTTTTTAATAAAAAAATTTCAGATTGAAATTATCATTAAAAGTTTATTTTAGAAATCAGTAAAAAAAGTTATCTCAAATTAAATCTAAGATTTCATTTGAAACAACTTTTTAGTGCTTCTTAAAACAGCTTTTTAATACAAAACTTTTTAAGATTCATTTGAGACAACTTTCTTACTATTTATGAAGCAGCTTACTGTACATTTTTTTTTAATTTAATTTTTTTTTTTTACAAAAAACTACTTTAGAAAGTTAAAAAAAAAAAAACTGTCCCAAATTAAGTTAAGTCTGTACTAATTAAGAATAAGCATCACATAATTTTTGATGAAATATTATGTTGTCCTTTGCAAATCAATATATTATTATATAATTGAGTGACTATTAAGGTTTCATTTGAGACAATTTTTTTATTGTTTCTTAAAGTGATTTTATAATACAAAAATTAAAAATTTTGTACTAGAAAATTGCTTTAAGAAGCAGTAAAAAACCATCTCAAACGAAGCCTAAGAATTCATTTGGATCAGCTTTTTTAATGCTTCATAAAATAATTTTTTAATAATTTGTTTTTTATTTTTATAAAAATAAATTTATTTTAAAGAATAATAAGAAAATTATTTCAATCAAAACCTGAATTTGACGTGTACGATAGCAGATGCATAAATCAAAAGAGGACAAAGCTCTGTCAAACGGCAACTCCGAGATTTGAACCGTAAGGACCAACGGTGTGATCTCCGAGATTTGAGCCAACATTCATTCCCATAGTCAAATGTAATTATATATTCTAAGAGCCATCGCACATAGAAGATTTTGACTTAGGCAAGAAAAACAAGTTTTTTTTTTTATTTTTTTGGTAGAAAAAATAAGATAATTCAAGCATAATAGAATATAAAACTTCATCTATTTTAAATATATAAATTGTATTTCTTATGATAGAGTTCTATAAATGATTTGAAATTTAATAAACTGCAGAAACTATATTTTCAGCGTATTCAATAATTTTTATTTGTGAAAAAAAAATAAAAAAAGAATTTATGGGTGATCGAACATAAAAATTGATAAAAGTGCAAATTACAGTAATTTGTATGCATAATAATTGAAAATCATATAAAAAAATAAACCTTTAACAAATTTGATAAAAATATATTGATTAAAATTTGATAATGATAAATTTTAAAATGCTTAATTAGCCTTATGCTAAAATAAATGAATATAAGAAATAATTGATTGCTCGTATATTATATTTATTTTAAAAATAAATTTAAAATTTTAAAATTCACCTAAATTAAAAAAAAAAATTGATTATTATAACCCAATTTTGCTCTTGAGCTTTTCATGCTACATAAAATAATATAAATTTTTTTTATATTAAAATGCGAGTCGCTTCAATCTCTTAATAGTTTTATTTGAATGGACCAACAAAGGCCATCCATCCATGCAACCCTCTTTAATATGTATATTAATAATGTACTCACACACAACTTTCCTTGGCCTATTGGTTGAGAGCTAAGGCTTCCAACAAAAAGGTCTAAGGTTCGAGTCTCTGTGTATGTGTTGTGTGTGAGTTTGCCTTAAATGACCTAAATGTCCAAAAAAAAAATAATGTACTCACGCTTTGGTTGCTGCGTAGACGGCGTAAAACGGGAACGACGGCACCGCCACCGAAGAAGCCGAACCGACATTGACGACGGCGCCGCGCCGTCGGCTCACCATCCCCGGCAGAACTACTTGGGTGACGTGGCTCATCCCCTCCACGTTCACTCTCACCACTTCCCTCCACACCCTCTCCTCCACCTCATGGAAATACGCGGCGCCGGGATAGGTCACACCGGCGGAGTTTATCAGCACACCCACCTCCACGCCGGCGATGGTCTGTCGCAGCCTCTCCGCCCCACCGCAGTCGCCTCCGAGCGCCAGGTCCCAAACCACGGTCTTCACATGGGTGTCATGAAACTTTGCGAGTATAATATCCGAGGCTTTCTTCAGCTTGGCCGGGCTCCTCCCGACGAGTAAGAGGTGCATGCCCCGGCGAGCGAGTTCGACGGCGATGGCGCGGCCGATGCCGTCAGTTGCCCCGGTGACGACGGCCCATGGGCCGTAGGCCCGTTTGAGATCCTTGGCTGGGCGGAGGAAGGTTGCGTAGAGCCAGTGGAGAATAGGAAGGGAGAGTTTGAGGAGGGAGATGAGACCGAGAAAGGACAGGAGGAGAAGTGAATTGGTCACCTCCATCTTTGACCTTCTCGGACTTAGCGGATACAATTGAAGGGAAAACGCTCGGCTAAGATCTAATATAGTAATATGTTTTTTAATATTTTACTCATTTAATATATTACAGAATAATAATAAGTAGTTTAATAATATTAAAAACAGGGGATTTAAATAAAAAAATTGACTTTATATATATCATTATCAGGGGCGGAACCAACCTTTCATCTTAGGGGGGGCAAAAATTTTCTTAGTATAATAGACTAATATAAAAAAAGGACATAATTCAAAGTGAAATATTGTATTCCATTATGATAGGAAAATTGAAAATCAATACAATTTTATCAATCTATTTTGCATTTTTTTATAATATTGGATAACATCTTCATTGGGAATCAAATCAAATACAGTAATTATGTGTAGCTAGATAACTAGATAAGCATCATGAAAAATCAAAGTACTTATATATAACTTCAATTATACAGGAATTAAAAATCAAAATTTCGGCAGATGAACTGATGAGGCGAAGAAAACAACGATAGAAGCAAAGAAATGGGCGGAAGAACGGAAGAAATGTCGAAGAAGACTTACCAGAGCACTTAGATTGATATAACGACAATCATAATAGCTATAACATGAGTGCTTATAAGTTAGATAAAAAGAGTGCAATTCGAGACATAATACAACATAGTATAATTTGAAAATATAACATAGAGAGTGTAATTCAAGAGATGTAACACAACATTCATAACACTACAAATGAAGATTGATAATCTAACATTGGATGAATGAAGTAAGAAAAGTACATAAGCAACCATAACTTATTGAATCAATTTTTATAGTGAAGAAAATCAATGCACATTGGATTAACAAAAGAATTGTCATGCAATCTTTCTTCAATGGGCCTATAGATCTATGTTGTTGTAACATAAAGAAAAACATAAATGATCCTTGTAGAATTATATGCAATGTGCAACTTTTAGAAAAATTGTATTTAAAATCATGCATGTATATGACGCATTGTATTGCATATACTCCACAATCACCTCTACAAATAAGATTTAAAGCACTCATCGATTTTTAGTTGTTAGAATTACTTAAGTTACTAAAATATTTGTTAAAATTTCAAATAAATTAGCTTACTATAGGATTGGGGACCTCATATGTGGTGGCCTTCCTTCACTTTCAAGGAGAACTCAAGCAAAAAAATTAATGCATGTTGTTAAATGAACCTATCATCTCAAGAAACCTTAGAAAGTATTTATAGAAAAACTCATTTTTCCTACAAGGCCTATACTGAGTTGCAAGAGGGTTCAGAGTTATACAATAGCATAACCTTCATAAGAAGTGAGATCTTGCAAATTATCTAATTTATTTTATTTAAATTCATTAATAAATATTTGAGTTATGCAATAAGAAGTGAGATCAAGAGGGGTTAGAACTCTGGCGGTGGTCGAGGAGTTATTCCCTCTTATCATTCTCTTCTTTTTCACTTCTCTTGCTTGGGTCCCCTCTCAAGAGAAATGAGGGGTCTATTTATAGATTTTTTGGAGTGGCATGGCTCGTAATTAGATGAGAGATCAGGGGCAAATATGGAGTTGTTCGGATGAACGGTCGATATTGAATCCTTCGATCATTGACCGTTTATCAGGCATTAATTTGAAGGTCTTAATGAGTTCGGAATTCGGCGATCTTAGGCTCGTTGGATTGTCTCGTCAAGCCACTCGATTTGACCATAAGCTTGTCAAGTTCGGAGACCGTTTGATAACTCAAATTGTGGTACGAACTTTCTAACAGGGCTTTGGGTCCTTGATTTGGACTCATTTGGGCTTGGATTGAGTTGAATTTGGTGTCGTTGGGTTCGCATTTCCGAGACGCTTAGTTTGACTGTAAGTTTATTGAAATCGGAGTTCAGGTGATCCCGAATTTAATTTTTTGAAATTTTCGACTCGATTTTACCTCGAGATTCCTGCCCGATCAAGATAATTTTTTGAGGATATATCAATCTCTTTAAAAAATATGTTGTATGTTAAAGAAATTATGAGTTGTTAATGGAATTTCTTTTGATAGCATAAGTTAAAAAAAAAATTCTTTAAGAAAGTCATATATATAAATTTATGTTAATTTAAATTTATAAAAAAAAATTAATTATATATACTTAAAAAATATATGTGTAATTTAATCTTTTATAATAAAATCACTAAAACTAAACTCTTAAATAAACAATTTAAATCTGCTTTTAAGTATTAATAAACACGTAAAAAATATTAGCCAAACAACATATCATTATTAAAACTCCATTTTACTAAACTTCTTTTTATCAATCCCTTGATAAAATTCATTTTTTCATAAGCTTAAACCAAATCAAATAAAACCATCATCTATTATCACCATTATTCACCATACACATATTATTAACATCATCATCATTATTCACCATGTACATATTATTAACATCATCATCACACCATATACGTTCGTCTGTAAGTACATATCAGTATTTGATCTGTCAGATTTGGCACATGACATGAGCCATGCATTCATGAGCGGAATTTACACCATATCGTACGTGAAAGCCAATTAATTACTCTCCATCTCCACCAGTGCGTAGTAAATCTTGTGGTAGTTGGCCGGTTCTATTTTAAGTCCGTGATATTTTTTACTGAGCCAACCTCAACGGAAAGGAGGACGGCGAGTATTTAAAAAAGGTGCTTTCGCATAAAACTTGGAGAGAGGATACGGACACTCAGAAGCATTGAAGAGGATAATTTATGGCAGTCCGGCCGGTGGACCTTTTCCCCATGCTTTTGATGAGTGGGATTTGCTTCTTTTCACATGTAGCAACTTGTCTTTTGATCAGTGGTGTCAAAAATAGTTTTTTAGGTTGGATTCGAGATTAACTCGGAACCCGTTGTCAACTGACTTGATCTAAATCCAACCCGGTTATAAAAACTGGTTGGGAATTCGAATCAGAATCCGACTTAGTTCAAGTTTGGGTCAACATGAATTGACCTACCAACCCAGATATATCCCGTTCGCGCGCTTATTCGACCAAATCACTAGCGGAAGAAAGGAAGATGGCCAAATCCTATCCCGATGGGTTTTCTCCGATGAGGAAGACGGCCAAAGAAAGAAGGGAAGATGGACAGAGAAGAATATCACTACGAAAGGTAGCTATTTTTCTTTTCTTCGCGCTCTTATCCGTTAGATATTTCCTCTTTGGACGTAAGGATAACCGACGACAACGAGAAATTGCTTGTTGCTCGGTTTTTCCGTTCTTTCGCTTATTCGACCAAATCCCGTAAATCCACCATAACGATGGCGACGGGAGCTTGCTCGCTTCAAAGGTGTTGATCCGGGTCAACCTAGGTTGATATCAGGTTGTTGAGTCAACTCGAATCCAACCCGGTTTTACAAATGGGTCGAAATCCCGAACACGGCCCGTATGACAAACGAGTTGACCTGAGCCTGAAATTTTCCTGGTCAGATTCGGATAGGGTCAGATTATGACACCTCTACCTTTGATGAAGGATTTTTAAAGTTTTTAATCATTTGAATATTAATTAAAAGATTTTGAATATAAATTTTAATATTGATGAAATAGAAATAATGAAATATAAAAATTATTTAAATCACTAAATCCTGAAATCAAAGTAAAAGATTATACCTTGTTTTGAATGAATTTAATAGCCGATCAGATCAAATATCTTTCTGGATTAAATCCATATTAAATTTATTTAAATCCTATTTATGAGGTTTAATAAAATTGCTTACGTTAAATTATACTTTAATGCTGCCAGTCCAAAAGAAAATTTAATTTTTATCAAGAGAGTTTATTTCAATTAAGATTATTAATGAGAATGGGGAAATCTCTTGGTCATAGGACCCCTAACATATCAAATGAGTGATTTTTTTGCTCTTTTTTTTTTGATAAATTTTAATAAATTAACGGGAAAATTTTCAAGATATTTCATGATTGTGAGAAAATAATACTTTTATCAAATATCAAAATGTAGTAAATAAATAAAATATTTCATTTTGATATTCAATAGAATTATATGATTTATACAATTTTTATATTTAAATATTAATATGTCACCTATATTAATATTAACTAATATGATAAATAGTCCTTAATAGGCAACACCAAACCAAATTAATTAAATAAGTTTACTATTATTCTTTAAAAAATATAACAAAGCTATTGAGTTTCATTTTTTTTAATTACGATGATCCGGTTAAGAGATTAGATGTATTAGATTTAACCCGTTTTAAGAAAGTAAAAGTTGACATAAAAAGACTTTATTAGAAAGTATTAGAAATAATTTTTTTTTCAATTAAATTTAAATGAAAATTTGATTTTAAATAGGATATAATGAAGAAAAAATTTTTATATACCCACCTCACGTACAAGGATAAAAGCTTCACGTTGTTGTTGTTGCTATAATATATAGGTTATTGAAGCTCCCACCTAAATAAATAAATAATAATTATTAAAATTCTATTTAGAGAGTATAATTATTTCAAACAATTGTAAAATAAATAATACACATTAACAAAAATAGAAAAAAAAATTGAATAGAGATAAAATGATGGAGAGAATGAAGTGATGTCTCAATCACTTTATTATTATTATTATTATTAATTCACTCTGCCACTTTGTTGCATGTGATATCATTGAATGTTTAATCAGATCTAACATGAGGACTTTGGATTGAGGTACAGGTTATCGGTAGCCTTCAGTCTCATGAAGCAAGGAATAATTATTAGGTGCGGAGTGCAGATGGGGAGAGTACCGTCTGTACAGATACAGGGTATCAAGCGGTACCTAGTGGTACGTATCCAGCGGTACCGAACGGTACCTAGCTGGATTTTATACTAGTGTGCATACGGTTCTCCCGGTCTGCACTCCGCACCTAATAATCTCTCTGAAGCAAGTAGTAGATATTAAATAGATGTTACAGATCTATCAGATTATTAAAAAATCATCTAATGAAAATCACCTTTAATTAATTTTAAAAGAAAAATAATTACC